ATCCTTGGAACCTGTGAATATGTTCCCTTATGTGGCTAAAGGGACTTTGCAGGTGTGATTAAGTTAAGGATCTTGAGAAGGGTAGATTCTCTGGCCAGGTTGGTTTGCAGTGATACTTGGTCAGGGAGGAAAGCATGCCCGGCTCAGAAGGACTCCCACCAAAGAAAAAAACCAAAGCAGTTGCTGCTGAGTCAGTCCTGACTCATGGCGACCACATGCGTTTCAGAGTGGAACTGCACATAGGGTTCTCAATGGCTGTGACCTTTCAGAAGTAGGTCGCCAGGCCTTTCTTCCAAGGACCTCTGGCCAACCTTCCAGTTAGTAGCCAGGCACTTAACCGTTTGCGTCACCCAGGGACTCCTGCTCATAGGGTCAGAGGAGTGGAAAGGAAGAGTTCTGGTCTATGGCCGTTTGAAAACTGCAAGCACAAAGTGGACCAAGTTGGTGGTGGTGGTGGTGGTGGTGGTATTGTGACTAGTGAGCTAGCCAGAAGAGGCACTTGCATAGTCAAATTTTACCCATTAACCTTCCAAGCAAAGTGCAGTCAGAGGGAAGAGTGGACTTGGCTCTGCTGCGCTGTCAGGAGCCCTGTGTGTGGGACTGGCCACCTCAGCCTTGTGTCTCCAGCCACGGGCCCTGCATTGACATTGCTGGTTTTCAAAGCTGACTTGAGAGGTTAAAAATAAATCTGGTATTTTACAATCCACGTGCTTGAACATCAAAGAGAAACAGATTTAAAAGGCCTATTTTTAAAAAAAGCTTTTTGCCTTAAACTTCCTGCTTGGCAAACACATCTGTGGGTGCTGGCAGGTGTGACCTACCCTGAGCAGGCTGCTCTGTGCACCCAGGGTGATCAGGAGTGGGGGTGGACTGGATCTTACTTTCTCTCACCCCTCCCTATGTTGTCTGACTATGTGCCACTTGTACTTCTGAGTGCCTTTCATTAATTCAGTCCTCCACAACCCTATGAGATAAATATTAGTATTATTCCCATTTTGATGATGTGGAAACTGAGGCACAAATAGGTTAAGTAGCCTGCCTAAGCTCACATAGCTAGGGGCACAGCTGGGATCAAAACCTGGCAGTCTGGTTTCCAGAGTCTGTGCTCTTCCAGTGTGCTGCTACCTCCCACCAAACTGTAAGATCCCTGCCTGTTGGGAGACTCTTGGGACATGTGAGGAGAATTCCTCAGTCCAGGGGAGATTCTTAGCCTGGTTTTGGATTCATGCTTATATAGGTGATGACATTGTCCTTGGGACTGGCTGGCTTTTATGGTGGAGTGTGCGACCCAGTGTCAAAGAACATGCTTGGCAATCTGTCGTGAGAGGCAGCGTCAATGTAACCTGTATCCCCCGCTCTTCAGAGATGCTTATTTTGTTGGTGTCTCTAGCAGATGGGGCCGGCCATTTGAAGTGCATGGGTGTCACTTCTCCCTGTGATGCATGGTGAGAACTCGGGCAGCTGCTCCCCTGCACACAGGGCTCTTGAGCCAAAAGGAGAGGACCCATGAATGCCAGGGACACTATAGGTGAAACCTCCTACAGCACTTGTCAGGGTAGCTTGGGAGTAGACTGAGTCCGAGCTGGACAGAGGGCTGGGTTCTGCCTCAAGTTTACCTGCAGCGAGCACTCTCAGGTGGAAAGGTGGCCTTATTTCTAATTGGGTCTTGGGTTCTTCAAAGGGGGTTGGCCTAAGATCTCTCAGGTACCTTCTAGTTCAAAATTTCACTGGTGCTAACCCAAGTAGTGATTCCAGGCTGCACTGTAGAGTCATCTTGGGGAGCTTTTTTAAAGTGCATTCCCACTGCCCAAAGCTCAGGGAAGGAGGAAACTGAAAGATAAAACCAAGGTAAGGTTGGTACCCAAAATTCACGTCATTAGTTCAAAGAGACAAGACACCAACTTGGTGCTGAGTTCTCAAGCAAACAACAGAAAGAAAGAAACAGGTTCAGTTACCAGAAGCTGAAACTGACTCGAGGGCAATGGGTTTGGCGGGGGTTTTGTTTTCTATTTTTTTTTTTTTTTTGAGAGAGAGAAACAAACTGGTTTAGGAGGATTTGAGCTGTCCCTGGTGCTGACACTTTTCCCTGTGGTTTTTCATAATCTGTAGGAGCCCTAGGGACGCAGTGGTTAAGAGCGTAACTGCTAACCAGAAGGTCGGCAGTTGAAATCCACCAGCTGCTCCTTGGAAACCCTATGGGGCAGTTCTACTCTGTCCTATAGGATCGATATGGGTCGGAATCAACTCAACAGCAATGGGTTTGGTTTGGTTTTCGTAATCTGTGATGCAGTGAAATACACCCTCCACAATATCCTTCAGCAGTAAATGCAGTGACAGTTTCCCAGGACCATTTCTGACAGTGTCCCTGGTGTAGGCCTCTGGTGTGACATTATTCAGTCAAAATAATTCTTACAACGGACCAAAATGATGTAGCCTTTGGCTCAGCTGTCTGCCAGCCTGGCTTTTATCCAGCACAACATGTAGAGTAACTAGGCCAGTGGAGCCTACAGCTTTTTATGGAAAAAAAAAAAAAAGGACCAAATTTCTTAGATCCACGTGCATATGCGGTTATACTTAAATATATTTTACCTGAGGAAGCATGACACAAATCTATGGAGTTGGTAACCTTTTAAATCAGCTTGATTCAGTACGCTTAGGTAGGCACTTAGGAAATTTGCTAAATTAGTTAATGGTTTATGATTCACAAAAGCATCCAAACACATCTGATGAATAGCATGTTCTGAGTCATAGCCTGAGGACCTTTCTGTGCCTCAGTTTCCTCATCTGAGAAATGAGGATGTTCATCATCCTTACCACATAAGATTTTTGTGAGGAGTAAATGACTCAATAAGGAGCCCAGGTGGCATAACGGTTAAGCTCTGAGCTGCTAACAGAAAGGTTGGTGTTTCAAACTCACCAAGCAGCTCTACAGGAGAGAGACCTGGCGATCCGCTCCCTTAATGGTTATAGCCTAGAAAACCCCTTGGGTTAGTTCTACTCTGTCACATGGGGCTGCTATGAGTCAGAATTGACTTGACGGCTCACAACAACAACAAATAAGTTACTGTATGGGAAGCATGTAGTATAGCGCCTGGCTCATAGTAAGTACCCAGTAAGTGGTGGTGGTGTATATGGGATGTGTTGTGTTTTCACTATACAGTCTGCCTTGTAATGATCCACTTGCTCCCACCTCCTCCTCGTAGCATCTGTAGCCCATAGATTGGAGACCAGTCAGGGCCTCTGGGTGCAATTCCACAGGTTGTGCCCTGCACAAGGGTACCTGGGTGCAGGAACAAATGGGGCTGAAATGCAGCCCATGTTGCACTCCACTCCCTTGACCATGAGCCCGAGAAAGGGTGCTGTCTGCTGCAAGCTGTGTACCCTGGGGCTATGTCTACCCAAAGGGGCAGCTTTGTCCCTTCAGAGGGAGTGCCTTTTTCTGCTTCACACAAAGGTACAGTAGAGGCCAGCAGAGGCCCTGAAATCACTTATTTGGAGGATCAGGTGGATTTCATGTCCCTCAGGCAGAGATGACATTTCCAGCATAAAAAAGATCTTGCCTAACAAAACCTTCAAGGCAAAAATGAGCTTTTGAAAGTAACAAATAGCAGAGTCTGAAGTTAGCTCCCCAGACAGAGTCTTTGTTGCAATTGAGGACAGATCTGTGCCCTTTAGTGCTAGGCTGAGCACAGTGAGCATCCTCTGGGTTATCTGAGGAGCCCAAGGAGAGCAGGAGCCTGTATAGAAAGTCCTGGCCCTCTGCCCAGGTTGGACCAGCCACTGGTGTCAGGAGAAGGCCCTCGCAGGTATAGGACCAGGCTGGCCAGGTCTCAGGTGATACCGAGAGAGCTCTGGGGAGCTCAGCCAGGCAGTGCAGGCAGGGATTCTGGGGGTGTGTGAGGAGTGAGTGCCCTGTGCCACCCCCTGCACCAGACTTGGGTGCACACACAGCTATGGACACCTGCAGATGTGAGGACGAAGGCAGGAAACTGCTGGACCCCTTGCGGGGGTCTTCCTTTCTGATATTCTGGAAGCACAACCAGAGCACGGTATTCTGCTGTGGTGAGTTCCCAGTGATTACTTAAGGAGCTGCCCATGTTCAGCTGCTGAAAATCTTCCCACCTGCACCTCAGGCAGCCATCAAAGAGCATCTTTCCAAGGGACTCCT